AAAAAAACATTATAAAACTGTAGTTAAAACTCGTACTTCAGTCGCCTAACTTCATAATCAGCAGCCAGTTCAAACTTTCAACGTTAAATAAAGTCGCACTTTAGGTTGTCAAAATACTAATAATTCGTTCTCATTACCTTTCGGGGCACTTGTTTAATCCAGCCGATATGTTTGAATATCAAAGCTCATCGAAAAGCAATGTTCTCCCCCGTCGGAGCTCATTTGTTAGTTCCGTGAATCCACTGCCATACTCCAGGAGCTCCGGAAAGCCCTCCTCTCCGCGTGCGCTGCGCTCCGGACAAGCGGAATACCACGCGTGACGTCAGCGCACCCTGGGATTTAAGCCCCGCACGCCATTGGCCCACACCGGGTAGAGCGGAAGCTTGGTTGGTCGGCTGTGTTGTTGAATTGGCCAATAGGAGAGGAGAAAACAGTTTCCATGGTTACTCTGGATACACAAGTAACAGCCTTTGAAACAGGACCATAAAGGTAATAATGTTTTTAATATGCTTTTATTCTGTGTTAGGGCTTAGGTGTGCTGTTTGAAGTTATTTTCTCCTTTTTAATAGTTGCCAGTAGTTTGTCAAAATCAAAGAAAGATTTTAAGATGTTTAAAAATAAAAACTTGAGATTTACATAATTTCTATATAAATTAATTCGGTAAATTAATGAATTTACACCGCAGATAATACTGCCAGCTGGACACTGTGTGTGTAAAGCTATTCAGAGAAAAGCTCACTGTGAGTGATATAACGTTAGTTAATTTGGACGATCGAAACGGATACAAACAATCATGGCCTCTTCTGTCTTGTTTGCATCTGTTCTCTTCAAATAATCACGTCTTGTCAAGTCACATTTATTTACACAGCGTTTTATTCAATACAGATTGTTTCAAAACAACTTCACATTAATAAACAGGAGAATAACAGGGTTGATAAATTCATCCAGTAAGAAACGACTTGAATTTTAGCTGGAAAGCAGCGACAATTGTGCGTTTCATTTTAGTTCAATGACTCAATATTACAAAGTCCATTAATTATAAAACAAGTTTATTCAGCTAAAATCTGTTCAATGCTGATTCGATCCAGTTTAGTAAGAGTGTCGATGTTGCAAAGTTAGTGTTATTATCCAGCTCTGTTCAGTTCAAATTTTGTTCTCATCCGATAATGCCAGTGCAGTTAAATCAAAAATATTACTGAATATTAATTGTATTTTAAACCTGTCATATACATTGCATTGATTTGACATTTTATTCTCCTGAATTATTCACAGATGAGTAGCAGAGTCACAAACCACTGCTCTGAAGACACAGGTAGGCAGCTGTGATCAGACTTTAACATTTTATCCAGAGAAATGATCTGTCGGCACCAACTGTCATTCCTTCCCCTCAGCAACTTCGACCTGCAGAAAAATGTGTATCTATAAGGGTAACACTGCCTGCAGTGTCACTTCTGTACAGACATTCTTGAATTCTACAGTTTAGAGTTATTCTGTGCACAGACTATAAATATAAAATCAGATAAAAACTATGTATTGACTGACATTTAATTGACTACATTTAACCATGTATTAATTACATGCACAGTCCTTTGATTTACTTTTTTTTTTAATCACCTAGAAAAGTTGCCTCGAAGAATACAAGTGGGTCTGGGACACTCAAAATGTAAAGTGGTCCAATATGAGCAACTACGGGACATGCTAGAGGCCAAACGCCTTTCCTCTCAGCTCTCTCAACAGAAGGTAATGAATGTGTTGGATACCCTTTGTCATGTCTTTGTTACAGTGCAGAAAAAAGTATTTTGGCTAGTTTTGCAGGCGGAGTCCATTTTCTTTGATCATTTATCTCCTATAAAACACTAAATTATTTAGATTTCGTGGATTGCGATGGTCCAGCAATCATCCTTAATGAGAGTTCCTAACCTTTTTGGAGTCAGCGAAGGTGCTGTGAACTTTAAAATTCACATTTTTGGTCATACAGATAGGAGTAAGGCATCATTCAAAACTGTGACATGTCTACTTTTATTTGTGTACACTCACAATAACAACAGAATGTTTTACTTTTGGAAAATAACTAAACTGGATGTGCTTTGGATGTGCTTCGTGAGCATCTGTCTGAAAGTGTCACAAAAATTTACCAAAACTTAGCATATACTTGCCTCACAGATAAAAATATGTCTATAGAATGTTTGGCATGTCTACTTAGAAATGTCTGCATACCAGGGGTTTCAAAGACCACCTTTCACTAATTTTTTATGGTCTTATTTTCTTCTTCTTATATAATTTAAGAGTTTTGTGTGTAGTGTAGACACAGAGTTATAATGCTGCAAACCGTATTCTTTTGCAAGTAGTTACTAGAGGGCAGTATTGCACCCAATAAGAAATGCTGCACAGAGTTATTTACTCTGTACTAAGCACCAACCCCAGAGTGAAACCATCAGAGTCACCCCTCGGACACATCAGTGGCTGTCAGTGACACTATCCACTTCGGCCAAAGTCCCAAGCTACATACTCAAAATAACTTACCTGTTAAAGGCTGACAAAGAAAGCCCAGTTCCAGGGCAGAGCTCAAAGGCTTGGAATCAGATAACAATGTGATTCCTTTAAGAGGATATGGACAGGCATCTAGGATTCATCATATTACCAGACCCTGGCCTGTCATCTAGGTTGACTTCATACATCTACTCCTAATTCTCCCAGGGGGGCTACAGGATAGCCAACAACCTTTCTGCCTGAGGCAGAGGCTCTGACTTGAGATATGACAAAAAGGCAGTGGAAAGGTAATTGAGAGGAACTGGCAATAGACACCTTCACTGTACCTGAGATGGAGACTTCCCGTAGGATCTCTCTCTCCAGATCCCTCGAGCTGGTAGACTTATACCCCCGCAGCCCAGTCAGATGGGAGACATTGTTAAGGTATCACTGAAGATACATATGTAGAGTGGGACCCAAGGTGAGAATCAGGGCCTTAACCAACTCGGAGAAAGGGTACGATTCTGGCAGCATGTGACCCTTACCATAAATGGATTATAGAAAGTGCACAAGATGCTTAGGGTGTGCGCTTACCATAAACATGAATTTTAGAAAGCACTCAGTGCCATTATAGAGGCCATGAAGAGGCCTAGTGACCTGGTATGACTGCAGAATGGAGTTCTAGGGAGTGGAATACTCGACTTTGAGTAAGAGGAGGACTCACATCCTCGACCTTGCACATAACCCAACTCCTGAGAGTAATATGCTCAAGGTGATGCATCAAACCGTGAGGGGGCACTGTTGCTCACAGTCCATCATGAGGGCCGAAAGGACAGCCTAACAACCTGATATGAGTGCTTCACAGGCCTAAAGAAGCAGAGCACTCAACTTTTAACCTGTTAATCTGCACCTGGACGCGGCGCACTGAACGCTCTTTGTTTGCACGTGTCAATGTTTACGAATAGATTAAATGAAAAGGGAAATAAATAATCTTAACAAACTATATATATCATTCTAAAGGTCTAAGCCTCAAGCATCAAAGAAAGATCGCTGTTTTTCAATGGAAAGCTTATAAAGAATGTATTTGCTAAATTTGTGTAAGCAGTACACATCAAAACATGCATAATCAAAACCCAGTACGTACCAGATTCATCGTAATAACGAGTCATAAACGCATCCACAGCTGTAAATCCCAGTTTAGTTAGAAAGGTAAGGGTCCACTGAACAACATCCCATAGAGCACTTTTAGTCCAACGAAACAATAACGTTGTAATATGGATGGTAATTCCTTTGTTTACGTCTCATTTCTTCGGGGACAGTTATTGTTTGTATCCATTATGGAATAATTTATGCTCAAAAAACTGCATCTTGGTAGTAAAAATCAACATGGTTTTGTAGCATACAGTGTCACAAACAGAATAAGACCATCCACTAAAAAAAGTCAAAGATACGTGGAATATTGTTTATTTGAATTCTGGCTCTCTCTCGTGACGGCTCATGACGCATGCTGTGCAGCCTGTCATCTGTTGGAGGCGTAACTTAGCGATCGGCTTTTTGCATAAATAATATATTTTTTTTCAACATTTTTCATATATGCGTGTGTGTTTTGTGGGGTATGTGGCTGTATCTGCGTGATTACCATCAGTATGACCGCACATCAGCGTGTGATTACTGTCTGTATGACAGCTATCAGTGTGAATGTGGTCTATATGAACGGCCAGTAGAGTGTGATTATTGACTATATGGCCGGCCATCTGTATGATTACCATCTGTATGACCAGCCATCAGAATGTGATTACTGACTGTATGAGCAGCTATCAGAGTGAATGCTGTATGTCTAGCAATCACAGTATATACTTGGCATACATAGTTAATTCTTTTTTTTTTCTTATTTCTTTTTATTACTCAAAAATGATTCTTATTGTATTTTTCTAGTGCTCAAATAAATCACTTATACGATGTATAAGATTCTGTCTATTGTTTTATAATTGAAAAACTATGCAGTGGTATGTATAATGACAAAAACATTAGACATAGTCTCAGAAAAATGGTTGCAGGAATCTCATTTTTCATGATATCTTCTCCAGATTTGAAATATAAACTCATGAGACATGTGACTTTCAACCCATTACTTTTCTGGATTGCTCCAGGACTGATTTCATGTATTTTTATATGAAATAAAAAACTTCTGTGTGGTACAAGTTTTTTTCAAGGCACTTCAGTGTCTATAACTTTTTATCTTTTTGAGCATTTTCAACTCTGGATGATGGATAGTAATGCCCAAAGGGTCTTATTTCCAAATACACCAAAATTGTGTGTGTAGAACACTAAAGTCAGGAACTGTTACAATTTTAAGTTAGGTAGGTCATTTTCAGCTGTGAGTCCCAAAATTGTGGGTGCAGGTTAACAGGTTAAAGTGAGAGGAGAACTCACGTGCTCAGAAGGGCACATGTTGGGGCTCCAGAAGTGGCATACTCATAGGAGACCCTCCAATTAAGGGGAGTACTGCCAACTCAACCATAAGGGCAGTCACATGATGGGAGCTCCCGGGAACAGCATGCTCAAAGTGACCCTGTAATAAGGGGAGCAATGCCAGGCTCAAACACTGAGGCGGTCATCAGGGAGGCCACACAGGAGGCCTTAATCCACTTGGTATAGATGCCTTTTGGAGCTCCAGGGTAGCGGAGAACCCAACCCTCAGAAAAGAGAGGGGAACTCAGACACTCATCCTGGGGGCGGTGTGCTCATAGGCGACCCACTAGAGTGAGGAGAGCAATTCTAAGCTCAACCATAAGAGCAGCCTAACAGGGAGGCAAAAGATGTCCTAACAACCTGGTATGGCTGCCTCACGGAGCTCCAGGGAGCGGAGGATCCAACTCTCAGAAATGAGAGGGGGGGCTCAGACACTCACCCTGGGAGCGTGCTCATTGGCGACCCTCTAGAGTGAGGGGAGCACTGCCAAGCTCATCCATAAGAGCAGCCTAATGCGGTGGCAAAAGACGGCCTAACAACCTGGTATGCTGCCTACAGAGCTCCAGAAGTGGACTCCTTTGCTCTTAGATCGAGAAGAGAACTCACATGCTTGCTCGGGGAGCAGCAGGCTCATAGATAACCCTCACGCAGTGAGGGGAGCCAAGCTCAACTATAGGCAGTGGCTGTATACAGAGCCCTGAGAGTGGAGTACTCCATTTTTAAATCGACAAGGGAACTCACATAAAGGAAAGGAGACCCGGAGGGCCTAACAACCTGTGGTTGCAGAACTATTCTGGGACCTTGATGACCAAGGAGGCTCCTAAAGAAGCCTAATGACTTGGTGTCAAGGTCCCAATGCACAGGGCCTACAACCCGACTCTCCGACAGAGGAGGCTCACAGAGAACCATACAACCCTGAAATGAAAGTGTAGCAAATTAACTCAAAAGGGAAATGTATATAAATAATTACAATTAATTATAATTAATTACAATTATTTACCTCAGCTGCCAGTAGTAACTGTAGCAGAATAAATATTACAATCAACTAATCTGTTCGTCTAGCGAACATTCAGTGTAATTTCATATCAACTCTAAGAAAGGAAATTTTCTTGGCCACAGAAAATAACTTTCTTACAGTAACGCATTAGAGCATGTAGCTATAGATTGGATCGTAAAAGGTACACCAATGACAAGCAGGACCAGAAACTGTGTGTAATTCGACACTATTCAAAAACGGTGACAGAACCAGAAACTCATGTAATTTGTGCACAAAAGTTTTATTAACTGAACACCAGCACATAACTAATCTAAACAAACAAACATACAATCACTCATACATGGGGGAGTAGAAGTGGATAAATGAAACCATTAGAGAAACCAGAGAATGCAGTTATGGAAAAGGAGTCAGTTAACCACCTGAGTAAAACCATCAGCGCCGTTTTACAACAGGGTCTACAGCTTATTCTAAACCTCTGTTTCGTTTAGTTAAATGTACGATACTTGCATTGCCTTGGCTGTTGAATGAGTGTCTGAATGCAGTCTCAGATGAAAGTCTTCACGTTCTTCCGGGCTTGAAGCGTGATGACATCCAAAGATGTTACTCTGACTCAGTGGTGGTTAGGAGAGTTTTCTCCCAGATGGAAAGTGATGAGAGAAGAGCGCAGAGCTAAAGAGACATCAGCTGAAATCCGAGGATCTTTGGTGAATGGAAAGACAAGGCTGCAGCCTGGCACAAACTAAGAGGTTTTTAGAAGACTTCTAGCTCAGCATCCTCATCTTCTCAGAATCTAAAAGAACTG